ACAATCGGTTTGTTTAAGCAGAAACTGGAACGAAACCAAAGATGAGAGAGGAAATGGCGAGCAGAAGTAATTTAAAAGGTTGTCGCCAAAGTGTTGTTGAAATAAAATATGCCGCAACATTTGAGAAACCTAACTCCTCTAGTTATTTTCTTCTTTCCCTTTTCAGGAAAATCCTTTCACACTCCTTCCCAGATGAAATTTAAAGTATCCATAAGTATCAAAATATTTTCAATTTAAAGCTTATTTTGTATTCTATGAACAAATACTACATCATATTTTCAATTTAACATGGTGTCCAAGGCTCAAAGAGAAGAAAAATCATACCTCCTCTGTAAATTTGTCTTCCATGTGTTCACAACTTGAAAGAGCTACAACCTCAACCTAGCCATTTAGTAGTACATAACCACATGATTGATAGTTTTCACCACAATAGCATCAAATCACCATTGATTCTTATAAGTTATATAAGCATGACATCTTACATTAAAAAATTTACTTAATGGAGTATTCCTGTCGGCTTCAGGCTTAGGAGCAGAGTCCCATATCTGCAGAAAAGGAGAGACGGGGTAAAAAAAACAACACTAAAAGACTAAGACAATAACAAAATAAAGCACCAGATGACTTACCTTCTGAATGTCTTCTCTAAGAATAGGTTCTAAATTCTCCAATGGCGTCTACAAACAAAGAAGGACAACTGCACTATAAAAAACTCAGCCTAGAGTGGAATGGCCTTGTACCAAGAACAATGCAACAGACACTGCAAATGAATAACAAATACAAAGTAAAATTGGCTCCATCTCAAGGTATCACATAGAATGCCAAAAGAGAAGAACGAACCTTCGTCATATCACGGATGACAAATATTAGAGTTGACTTACGCGGACTAAAAAATTGCATTATCGCCTGTTAGCAAATTCAAGCATAAATTTCAGGAGATCAAGCTTTTGAAATTTAAACTAACTGTTTAATCACAGTAGGTAGGAAGAAAGTACCTGGAACACAGTTTTTAGAAGAGGCTTATTTGAAGCTTGCTCACGGCCAATGTCTTGGCACCACCTTAAAATTATAAAGAAGATTAATCACACCGACAGAAAAAGTACAAATCCCAAACAGTCAATAAATATGGGCAAAAACAAAAACCTCACATGTTAATGAGCACTACATCTGAAACAGCAAGGGCGAAAAGGGTACTCTGCTTCTCGAATGTTGTATCATCCTGTAAATAAAAAACGGAATGATAAACAACAAGAGAATATACACTTTGGCGCCTGCTTGCTTGACAGTGAGATCCGATTTACATTTCGATAAGTAGATTGCAACCTCGAAAAACAATCATGATAGAATGATGCATTATTTTTAAAACTTGGAAAGAAGAGTGAATATATTTAAGAATCCACTTTCTTGAAGTTGGTGTTGCGGCATAACATTTTGAGATCAGTCTAACAGAGAAGCATTAGCCAAAAACTGAGGATTTCTTTCTCTGTACAGAAAAGTTGAACTTGTCGGGAAGTTGCATGACAGGTATATAATATCAGACAGTAGCATTACATAAATTTCACAAATGAAAGGATGCTATCGGCAAGGGTAGCATAAAACGCAAAGGATTTCACTATTTTAGATATGAAAGCTTAAGTAATTGCAGCAAAGAAAAACAACCGGTAAATCCGGATTTGAAAACTGATCCCTTAGTAAGAGCAGAGTATCTATCAGTCATCTGTAAGCTACAAGTAGGAGGAAGCAAAAGGCAGCGGGAGTCGGCACTAAAAAGTGATCATCGAGAAAACCATGAGTAGAACATATGCAAGAAGTAACCCAGCAATGAATTCATGGGTTGGGCCACCAACAGAATGCCAGTAATGACAATAAATTCAAGCATGATCATATATTGAAATTTGATGAAAACAAAAAGCAGGGTGTCAAAGGCACCTCTCCTCTTTCTCTCCCATCTGTACCCTCTATGTCCATGACAAGAGTGAACCGCCGAATGCTGGGAGATTTTGCCAACCAAATACCTTTTGTTGTTTGGGACCTGGAAAAATAAGCATATGCCGTCATATTACTGGTGAATAAGAAAAAATATTAAAGACAAATAATTTTTCATTTTGAGCATTATGCGAGAACTTGCCTTCCTTTAAGGGCTTCCATCTCTTTAAAGTTGGTCTGAAACAAACGATTTACTAGTGTGCTCTTTCCTGGAAAGATAATTAATAGTAAAAAGAATTATACCAAAAAAAAAGAACAAAAACAAACAAACAAATGAATCCAATAGAGCTTAAACATATATGAGTATCAGATAAGAAAACAGAGAAAAGACTCCATAGGAATTTATGTGATCATATCCATGCCTTTAAAGACAAAAACTACGTTAACCCGTCTTCTTCTCCATGTGATAAGCTTTAAGCTTCAAAACATGGTAGCAGCGTTTCAAAACACTCAAAACTTTACTTCATGTAATTTATCACCAGGGTGTTATTTTTTGGCATTCTAAAGTAGGAGAACTTAAATGAAACACATTTCATCATATGCAAATCCTCAACCAAGCAACAAACACAAATGAAGATGAAAATAAATAAGAATGCATACCACTACTTTGTGGGCCAACAATGGCGACAACAGAATAAGTAAGCCCTCGTTCAGCGAACTTCGTGGTTTTGATGAACTCTTCAAATTCAGTGACCTTGAACTCTCCGTCACTATCAATAAGCTGAGTAGAGTAGCAGTGATCATCGCTGCTCTCTGTTGCTGGATGAGAAAATGCTGAAATACGTTAGACTTAGATGGAAAAAATCAACAAAAGCCTTGGATTTCCAAAGCTAAGGAACGTCCCATGGAAAGAAGAAGACCAATATCTGTACAATTTACAAAGTCAATATATTTCAGACAGGACACGGCAGCTTTTTTTTAAAATGATTTCCTTTTTCTTTTTCTTTCTTCGTTGACCCTTCCATTGTTTCTATTTGTTATTAAAAACCAAATTGCATTTGTACCCATTAATTATATATTTCTCCTCTTCGTCCCACATCAATATATATTTCCTGGAACTTGTAAGTTCTATAAAAAAAATTGTTTATCCCAGAAATATTTATAAAACAAACAAAAAACTTGATCATTCCCATCTTACAGCTGAAGAACAAACAAGGAACAACCCAACAAGAATCACACTTTCCAGTTAAACGGCGAAGCTTTCGCTCCATTGACCCCAAAAAAAAAAAAAAAGCTTTCACTCCGGCGATGTAGCCGGATTCAGGTCGGTGTAAAGCCAATGCTTCCAATAATCGGACGGCTGAATTATGTATATGCATGCCAAATAAAGCCATGCACATGACAGAAAAATTCCTACAAAGAGAGGTGTGTCGCGAGATCAATCTAACCGTGAGATTCTTGGTTTTAATAACTTAGCAAACTATATACTAAAGTAACTTCCGGTACCACAACTACAACATTAACTAATAATCACCACAACTACTTAAAAGACTCACCATTTCCTTCAAGGATTTCTTCCCCATTAAGCAATCCCCGAGAGCTGCTGGCAGCTTCCATATTGCGATTCGAAATCAAAAGTGTGAAGAGGAGCTTTTAGTTGACGAGAGAGATTCCTGGCCCAAAGCGTTTGCTTTGACGTTGTTGTTGCGGAGGTGGTGGTGGTTGCTGTTTTTTTCTTTTTTCTTTTTCTTTTTCACCTTCAATGAAGCAGGTTGCTATATAATATTTATAATAGGGTGCTATCCAATATTTATAATAGCCTCTAGCGGGTTAGTACTCTAAACAATTTGTATTGACTTTATTGGAAGGGCTACTACTTACGTACGTAGCATCTTCTCGAACTGGTGTTTTAGCCAAACTGTACGCGTTTGACACTACTCACAACTCACAAGGCCAGAAATGGCCGACACTACAACCTAAAATAAAAAGGGGGATTCACCATTATACCCAATACGGGGCTCAAATGATAAAAATACCCTATATGAAATGGACTTTAAAAATACACCCAAAGTCCATTTACAATAGAACAAAGAGACTTTTAACTTCTTATAAATTATAAAACAACTATCGATTTCTTAAAACAAATCCAACCCCAAAACCTCATAAAAAAACCCAAAACACACAATAGGGCATCAAAGTAATTTAATAATAAAAAATAAATTCAATAGGGTCAGTTATCATTTTTTGGGTACATTTATAGAAATTAAATGTAATATCCCACATTAACCAACATAGAGGGGGTGATGTTCCTTATATGTACATGCCCACCTTTATCTAACACGAGGCCTTTTGGGAGCTCATTGGCTTCGGATTCCATGGGAACTTCGAAGTTAAGCGAGTTTGGGCTAGAGCAATCCCAGAATGGGTGACCCACTGGGAAGTTGCTCGTGAGTTCCCACAAACATAACCGTGAGGGCAGGGGTCCAAAGTGGACAATATCGTTACGGCGGAACTGATCTAGGATGTGACATTAAATGATGTAGGGTTTATTTATATCATTAGTGCTAAGAATGAGTATTTGACTAAATATCTCAAATAAAAAAGACTATTTGTATGGGATGCCACATGGCCAATTTTGAAGCCTAACAAGTGGACAATGTTGTGCGTGGAAATGTCAAACGTCAAATATGAGACCAAAATATAACAAAGACAAGACATGACAGATGCAGATAAACCAAAAATAACACAGAGGTTTATATTCACTAATAACAAAGGAGATTACAAAAGAGTGTTTAAGCTCTCACAACCCCAAATCCCACATACACCCAAATCCATTCTCATACCAAATGAGCCAAGAATAAAGTTCTAATTTTTTGCTCATACAAATACCCAAAAGAGAGAGCTAATACAAATGTGTAATTCATAAACAAAAGAGCAACAATAACAAAAGAAGAGAATCTTACAAACTCTCCTTGTAGCTCACTAAATTGCTAACACACCAAGTAAACCAAGAAAGAGAGAGCTAACCCAATGTGTTGTGCAACACCAAAACAAGTCAAAGATGCAAACACAACACTCTCTAATCTCCCTCTTGTCTCCAAATCTCTCTTGCAAATAGGAAACTCCAAGACAAACAAAATGGAGGAATCTCTTTCTTTCTCTCTCTCTCTCTCTCTCTCTCTCTCTCTCTCTCTCTCTCTCTCTCTCTCTCTCTCTCTCTCTCTCTCTCTCTCTCTCTCTCTCTCTCTCTCTCTCTCTCTCTCTCTCTCTCTCTCTCTCTCTCTCTCTCTCTCTCTCTCTCTCTCTCTCTCTCTCTCTCTCTCTCTCTCTCTCTCTCTCTCTCTCTCTCTCTCTCTCTCTCTCTCTCTCTCTCTCTCTCTCTCTCTCTCTCTCTCTCTCTCTCTCTCTCTCTCTCTCTCTCTCTCTCTCTCTCTCTCTCTCTCTCTCTCTCTCTCTCTCTCTCTCTCTCTCTCTCTCTCTCTCTCTCTCTCTCTCTCTCTCTCTCTCTCTCTCTCTCTCTCTCTCTCTCTCTCTCTCTCTCTCTCTCTCTCTCTCTCTCTCTCTCTCTCTCTCTCTCTCTCTCTCTCTCTCTCTCTCTCTCTCTCTCTCTCTCTCTCTCTCTCTCTCTCTCTCTCTCTCTCTCTCTCTCTCTCTCTCTCTCTCTCTCTCTCTCTCTCTCTCTCAAAGTTGGTGGCTATCAAGCCCCAAATTTCCAACCACAAATAACATGTTTAAGTTATTACAAACAAACCGATCCGAGACGTGAAGCGTAGAACCTTCAACAATTATACTAGGAATTTTTTTTTCTTTATACAATACAACCCATTCTGAACCACAATGTCAATACAGACTCAACTCTTCTGAGTCAAATATTACATTCCAACAATATATAATAATTTGAGTTTCAACCTATTATATATCCTGCTCCTCAGAAATTAATACTCACATCAGAAGTCTTCACACCAAATTAAATAAGCTCAAACCACATCTTGTGCAAAACATGTACACGAACATAGCCTTCTGCTCCTAACCTTGGTTACCCTGTTCATGGTGTCTTCTACCTGCAGGATTAGCCCCTACCCCATCAAATGGTGTATAATCCTTGTATAATCAAGGTAATCATAACATCCAAAACATCACAACCACAATTCTTTTATTTTATAAGAACTGTCAAGTCATCAGCTGACCCAAAACCTGCTTCAAATCCGTTAAAAACACAAATCATAAATGTCACTTTTGGACAATAGAAGTGACAATACGCCAGACTCTCCCAACCCACAAACATTGATCAGCCCTCATGGCATAGTGCATAGCCATAATCTGCCTCAAGGCTGCAACTATGTGTCACATGTATGAATACTTTAATGGCGACGACATAAATATCTACCTGGTTTGGGGCCTTGCACCCCAGGGTTATTTTCCCTAATTGTTTGCCACGGTCAAATCAAACATATGAGGTAATCCTAAATCCCTAGCCGAAACTCTCTCTCTCTCTTTCTCTCTCTCTCTCTCGACTCCAGCCACCAGGTTCTCTCGTACCGTAGAGAAAACTTCGACCACTTTAGCTATTATCGTATCTTTTTCAAGGTCCAGTCGAACTAGCTTAGGCATCTGAGGGCCTTTAGCCAACACCCCTTGGTGTGGTCTATTTACTTCAACCTTTTTCGTAGGGAAGAAAGAGAAGGAAGTTCGAGGTTCAAAGAATCTATGTGCGAATATTCCCCGTGCTCAAACATTTTGGTGCTTTCATTGAGAGCACGAGTTATACTCAACGCATGCTCTTGAATCAAAGGAATTTGTTTCCTCTTATTCATCACTCAAACAAAGCCTTCCAACCATGGTTGGAAGTATACGCACTCGAAGCAAGGCCGCTGCAACTAACCAAAGCCATATGTCTCGCTGTCTCGCGACCGAGACTGTTTCTCCACCTCAAGGCATGACAGCGTGGCCCACATCCTTGTTGCCGCACGGCCCCATGGCCGAAACGGCTCCACCCTGAGGCCCTATTGCTGGAACCTCCTTGCAGTCGCACAGCCTCACAGCCGAATCCAAGATGCACCATCTTGGCCCCGCCACCAATTACTGCCTCATCTTGGAGCATATACAACCATTCCTTCCTTTGCCCCCGTGTTTGACGATTGCTCCATACATCTCTAATGAACCCCTAGCCCGCATGCAGTTGGGCTCCACACAATTCTCTCATCCAGATCCAAGCAGTTAAGTAGACCTCAGCCTTAAAGTAAACCAGATAGCTCAAAGAGTAGACGACCAAAACAACTTGGTGGGACAACTCCTAATGCAGATCAATTTGAGAACGGGACTGCACAAGTTGGTATCTAAAGTTGTTCTCCTTAGTATGACCTATATGACAGATGACATGGGCAGTGGCAGAGCCATGAATTTATTTGTTGGGGGGCTAACATATAAACCAAACAAGACATTAAAAAATTTCAATTTTTCAACCTTAACAATGTGTGGAAAAATAAAAGGCAAAAAACAATTGTTTATTCAATTAGGTATCAAAATAACACTCGTCGTTCTTTCATATCTCGAAAACCATCTATGATTGAGTCAATGCTAAACTTTTTTGCAATTTCCCTTTCGATGTATGTAATCAAAGAGTCTATGAGAAATTCATCTTCCATCTTTTTACAAAGCCTAGTTTTTACTATACGCATAGCATAAAATGATCGCTCTGCAGTTGTAGTAGAAACATGATGAGTAAGCACAAGCACAACCACTCTATAAACAAGTGGATATGTCGTTGATCTTCTAGTCGTTACCATCCATTGGGATAGATCAGAAATTGTTGACAAGTTTTTGAACTTTGGAAGTCGAACAATGTCACTCTCAAAATGTTGAAGTTGTCTTCTCAAACCTATCATCTCTTAATTCTTGGATGAGTGCTTTAGTGGAAGAAACACGATTCATGGCATTTATGATGTCTTGGGATTGACATTGCAAAGCTTGACAAAGATCATTAGTGATCTCCATAAGTTCTTTAATAAGATGTAAGATAAAGACAAATTCATATGAAGTCATCGGCTCATAAGCTGCACCAGCATCTCCTCGTTGAGAATAAGTAGTTCTGTTATCAATTATATTAATTAGAACTGTGCATGTTGCACTAAACATATTTACCAAGCTAGTAATTGATTTCAAACGAGTATCACCAGCATGTTGTAAGGTGCCAATTTGGTTCACTCCTTTCCCAGTCACGAGCTCATCAATTGCAATCATGTGCTCAATTTCAGCAGCTTGAGCATTTTTTAGTTCTTCATTACGCTTGCATGAAGCACCAACAATATTGACAATAGAAGTCAATTTAGTGAAAAAGTGGTGAACATGAATAACTTCTCTTGATGATGCAATTAATGCCAATTGTAATCGATATGCTAAACAATGAACATAGTAAACATAGTAACTCATTCCAATATCCTAGCATGTTACTTGCACCAGCGTATCCTTGTCCTTTAATATTTTGAATATTTAGTGAATTATGAGACAATATAGAGTATATAAATTTCTTCAGAGTTAATGCCTAAGCGTTTGATACATGACAAGCCCAAAAAAAGGCTCCTGAATAAGACATTCTTTGTCAACAAATCGTAACACTATAGCCATTTGCTCTCTCTTAGATTCATCACGCACTTCATCAACAATTATACAAAACTTTGATTCCACAATTTCTTCACAGATTGCTTTCTTCACTGTAGTTGAAAAAACATGTAAAATTTCTTTTTGGATATGTGGTGATGTGTAAGAGGCATTTTTGGGAGCTTTATCTAAGACAACTCCATCAACTTTTTTCATTATACGCAGCCAATATTTCTAACATTTGAAGAAAATTTCCACGTTTGATTGAATTCTTTTTTTCATCATGGCCTTTAAAAACACATCCTTGGAATGCAAGCCACATGACTGCTTCAATTGTTGCCTTAAGTTGTAGTCGATTGTTTGCAATTTGTTGGGAAGAATAATTCTGAACGACTTTCTATATATGCTGGGATAGATTCATCAAATTCAAACATAATATTTCGGCAATTTTATGAGGGAAGTTAAGATCTTTCCCCTCGTGATTTAGAAAAAAACAATTTTTTCTATCTCTAACTTTCTTCCAACTTTGAAATCCCTCAAGAGTTAAAGCATTTTTCTCAGAATGTCCAGATGGTTTGTTAAAAAGATAGCGCGGTAGACAAAAAGCTACATCTTTCAAAGGTGAATAATCTAACCACGAAGGAAATAGTTTGAACCATAAACTTTGAAAGCTACGCTAATGAGTTACTAATCCTAATTTTGGATACTTGGAAAGTAAAGGTTGGTATGGATCGGCGTTAATGTAAGCTCGTCAAATTTTGTCATGTTGATTAACAGGATAATTCCATATTTGTGGACATAGCCCTGGGTCGGGCTTTAAAAAGAACTTAATATCAACTTCATTGTTAGTAGTCTCAATTCTTGGAGATCCAGAACGGTTTTCAAATGCTATTATATATATATATATATATATATATATATATATATATCTCTCTCTCTCTCTCTCTCTCTCTCTCTCTCTCTCTCTCTCTCTCTCTACTTAACAGACCCCCTCACCCCTCACCCCCCCAATTTTTTCTATTTAGCTGGTGGCTTTAAAAGCCACCACCACCGCCTCACGCCACCATTTTTGGCGGCACCGGTCCCAAAAGGACCGCCTCCTCTTCCTCTCTTCGTTCCACCACTCCCTCGCCAGGATATGCCAGCGTTGCTGCCGGAAATTGCAGATTTACGATCGGATTTTTGCCCTTTTTCCATCGATCGTTTCGGACGTTTCTGGCGACCAAATTTTGGGAACTTGGTATGTTTTCTCATCCTCTCGATGTGTTCTAGCTACTGGTTGTGTTGTTTAGGATTAATTTCTGTATTTTGAAACGGATTTAAGTGATTACAATTTTGGCCGGTTTCGGCCCTCAATTCCGACCACTTCCGGTGACTTTTTGGGGTTGGTCCAAGAACAAAAGTTGCTCTACTCAATGTACTGATCTTGTAGGTATAGGTCTCGACTGGTGGTTTGAAGTTTTTCCGATAGCCAGAAATCGCTTTGAACACCCACGTGCTGCCGGCCCGTGGGCCACCTTTTGGCCGGTCTTTAAGTCCTAAAATGATTCCTATGTTGTCCCGAGCACGACGGTATGCTCAGAGATGAATTTGGTTATTTTTTGATCGTCTATTGGATATCGCTTATTAGGCGTTATCCAGGTTCGGTATGTTCGAACCGTTGAATCAACTCCAATTTATCATATGTTGATGTAGACATCCCTAGGATCGTGTAGGAATTTGTGGATCGTGAATTAGAGCCCCGGATGTTTTCCTATGTTGTCCCGAGCACGACGGTATGCTCAGAGATGAATTTGGTTATTGTTTGATCGTCTATTGGATATCGCTTATTAGGCGTTATCCAGGTTCGGTATGTTCGAACCGTTGAATCGACTCCAATTTATCATATGTTGATGTAGACATCCCTAGGATCGTGTAGGAATTTGTGGATCGTGAATTAGAGCCCCGGATGTTCCGATTCAATAAGTTAAAGTTTGCATTAAATGATAACCGTCCGATCATGCGATCGCGACCGATCTGACCGTCCGATCCGGACCAAACTTGCAGGATGTGTATCTAAACCTTGTGGAACCCATAGGAACTTTCAGATCGTAAAACAGAGATCGTGGGTCTCGTGGGCCCAGTTGACCCAATTTGGAAAGTTTGACTGCCCGGTTGACCGAGCGTCTTCCGAGGCTATCGCATGATCCGAAACACGTAGTTGGACTTTAGGAACGTGTTGTTCCTTGTGCTTATACTTGAAACTCGGGAAATTAAGGTTTTAATTGAAAGTCCTCGTTCAAAGCATTTTATATTAATGTCGTGCTCGTATTCTGAAATACATACTCCGACCAAGCGTACGCAGCAGGTGGGACTCTCTCAGGGTCAAGTAGCATGAGACTATTTGTGAGTGGACTTTGTTTTGAAAGTGCATTATTTTGATCGATTGAATTAATATGCATTAAATATGGGATATATATATATATATATATACATTGCTCAAAATCGGAATTTTGCCTATTTCAATATAAGAATCATGGTTGTTTTTTAATATGGATTTTATGTTTTGAGAAATTGCAATTCATACTATGATGAAGTAAGTGGGCAAAAGATTTATATGAGTTAAGATACCTTGTGATGGTTATGTGAATATGTGATTGCACTATGCTAAGTACCCTCCCTTGTTTGTTGGACCCACACGTGGCGTTGGTTGATTCCGGTGTGTGGGCATATATGGTGGTTGTTAGTATGTCACATGTGGCATTGGATATTCCGACGTGTGATAAAATTGTCTGCGCGCGTAAGACTTAGTGTTCGGTGTTGGCCACACATGGCGTTGGATATTTCTAGCGTGTGTGCTGTAGAGTGCTCGTCCCCCGGTTGGACCGCTCATCCCTAAACGCAGGGTGGAAACTTGAAATCCTGCAGGCTAGCCAAACAATCCCCTGGTTGGATTGTTATCCCCGGTACTCAAGTTGGTGTGATACTTTTATACCTATTTATATATATATTATATGTATATCGTATACCTCGTATACTATTGGTATTTGAGGTGTCTACCGGTATAGAATATATTATCATAGTTTTGGATTTACATAACTATTTATAGTAGTTTATATATATATATATATATATATATATATATAAATGTATTAGTGGAATATTTGAAAGTATTCTTACATATGTTGTTGCGAGTCATTTCTTCGTGAACTTTGGATTGAAGTAAAAAAGGATTTGGTTTGGTTAGTTTCATATATTCTCGGGAAAGTGAGAATACTTTGATTTCAAAAAGCTTACGTAGATATGGTATCAATTGCTTGTTTTTGGCTTTATTTTTCAAACGGTGGGGTTAGTATGTTGTTTTACAAAGTAAATCAAACTTTGTTTTTGTCCACTCACACGTTTTCTGTTTTTGCACCCCCAGACAGTAGTTGATTGAGCTGAGCAGGAGAGCCGAGCCCTAAGCTTTCAAACCTCGAGCTTCAGTAGGATAAGCTTGGTTTCTTTTATTTTCGTTAAACTTTGTTATCGTTATTGTAAACCAAATTCCTTAGATTGCTCTGTTATTGCCCGTACTAGGGTTTGATTTGTGAGCTCAGAGGCCTTTGTTGTAAACTGTCTTTTTGTATTGGAAGCATGCTGCTAGTTGGGATATTAATTGTGTTTTTCACAGGTTGTGAAATTTGGAATTTGTCCATTTTTCAGGGGAGAATACCGAAATTTTGGCAGAAAGTCTTGTTCTTTAGTATGTGGGCTTGGCATCGGGATGATGTCGGAAATATCACTGGAATCATCCTGGATTCCAAGGAATCGAGGCAGGTCTTGTCAACCGCACCATCGCACCATCACTTAATGGCCAAGAGAACATGAAAAAAAGAAATGGAAGCTTTGGATTTAACAATTTGAGGTTACAGCTACTTTTTTTGAACTAGTTCTTGGCATTCTGAATTAGTAAATAGGGGAAGCTCATACTAAATTCATACATTGATGAAAACGGATGCTGAGAAGATGTTGTGTATTACTCATCCTTTTCAAGATAGAGGAGCTAGGAGCTAACAACAAGAGGGATGATAAATTTGTCAAAGCAACTTTCCAGTTTCCTTTTGGCATGTTCTTGACAAATTGAAAAGAGCTGAAGTCAACACTGTCGTAGCCTACCGAATTGTATGTCTGGTGGGGGTGTGGGTGGTTATGGATGCGGTGGTTGGTTGTAGAGAGAGGAGAAAGGAGGAAGGATGATGCTATTCTTTGGGACTAGGGATTGATCTTTGGGGAGAGTTAGATTTGGGTAGGGTTAAAGCATAGAGAAGAAAGATTTTTATTTATTAATTTTTCCATTTTTTAAATATAATTTTTTTATTAAACAAGTAATTATATATATATTTTTAATTTTATATTTAATTCAATTTAAACAAAAAAAGTGTGTCATTCACATGACACATCATCACTTGAGGTAAAAAAAAAAAACTAAAATAGCCATGTCACGTCATCAAAATTGATAGAGTTATTAATGGAGAAAACGGTGGAGGGTAAAATGGAACACAAAATCACAGTCAAGGGGGATAAGTGGGCCATTTTAACTTTGTGGGGTAAAGTGAGATTTGACTAAAGTTTCAGGAGGCACTACAGTAAATAAGCATTTTATTAAGGACATGATTCATAAATTATACCACACAAATAAATTCATATTCTATGCATATAAGATACAAAACATATAACTATAACAATGAAAACTTCAATCTTCCCTCATATAAACATATACAAATATATTCTCATAAAAAATAAATAAACAAAGGAAAAAAACTATAACTATGTAAAGTTATCTATAGGAACAAAAAATAAAATCCCAATCCTTTTTTATTTGGGTAAAAGTCTACTTCCTATTTGATAAAGGAGATTTTTTGAAACCTTATTTGATTGGCTGCTTTTATTTTTTAACGTAGCTTTGACTTGCTTAAACACAAGGCGGCAGCTGGTGAATAAAGAAAGGATGGGCAACATGTATCTACTGCGTACGTATGAAATAATGAATGACTTGACAATGTTATAAATAATCAACCAACATCACTGCTAGCATTTCCTGTGCTCTTTTTTTATCATCTAGCTGCAGGCCTTGTCCTTTCCTCTGCTGGTCTTTTAATCATGCACCCGATAGTTGGAACGATCTTTGCGGACAAAGATTGAAGCCCAGGAAGCTGTAGCGTAGTTAGCAGCACACAAATTACAAGTCAAATTCGAATAATGAACCTTTTACAGTAACATGTTGTGGTTATTTATATTTTATGATAAAAATTTAAGGGCTGGCAGCTAATCTTGGATTTCATATTTAAGTGGTGCAGAAAAATAGGAAGCATCATTTCAAAGGAACTGCGTTTGCATCCTCATAACCAAACTCAGGAAAACCCTACACTCAAGTCCCTCCATTACTTAGATTGTTAGTGGTTCTGTTAAATGTTGATGTGGCAAATGTGTAGCCCAATTTTTTTCGCTGAAGTGAACACCACTTGGACTAAAAATTAATAAAAAAACAAATTACTTTTAAAAAAAATTAAAAATTAAAAGTAAAATAGTATAAAAAATCAACAACAACAAAAACTTATTGGTTATGCTGGCATTTGCTTCGTTTATGCTGATTATTTCTCCACTTGGCGTTCCACCAAAGCTAAAAAAAAAGGTGGCTTTCATATGGGACACGTTATCAATTAAGGCCTGTCGGTGGAATCACATTGTCACGATTTCAAAAGGTACGGGGCTAAAGTATTAATTCAAATTAAAAGAACAGGTACAAACATGTCATTTTGTCAAAAACTTAGGATACTAAATTGAAATTAACCCCAATCTTCTGGTATTTAGCTGCGTCTTATCATCACTTATCTGAATCACATCTAACTTTTGCAATCAATTTGTCATTTGTGTTTATTCCTAACAATGTCTAAGAAGCTCTTCGCAGTCCAAAGTGAAGACTACTATGTTAGAAGAGATGAAAGCTATCCACGAGAACTCTTCATGATATACATGGTTGAGCTACCTAAGGCAGAAAGGCAGTGGGGTGTAAGTGGGTGTTTACATTTGGGAGATTTGATCTATTTGCTATTGATGTTAGCTCACCTAAAGAATGCAAAAGGAATAAAAGAGACAAGTCAGTCAGGGGCTGCAAACTCGATGATTGGCTTCTGCCGCTCAATTCTCATACTCAGGCGGAAAGAAGGAGCGCTTGAGCGGACCTGAGGAGCCCTTGAGCGGCAGGCGCAATTCCAGCACGGATCCTACTAGTTTTAGGATGGCGTTTCCTAGGTTTTTAGGTATTTTAAGTTTCATATTCCTTGTAAGGTTGTACTAAAGTCCTATAAGTATAAATAGGCATCGTGCTAGGTTATTCGCAAGAGAGAAAACAAGGGAATTCAAATTGGGTTTGAGCAGGGCACTAGATAAAAGAGAGCTAGGGTTTAGTAGGAGCTAATGGGGTTCTTCATTGTAACCAAAGGTGTTCCTATTACTAGTGAATTTCTTGTGGCGATCAACAAAGAGGATCTAAGCAACGCCGAACCTCTATAAATTCTTGTGTTTGTGTGAGTGCTTCTATTTTGCATGTTGATGAGTGTGCTTGTTGCGTAGTCCATCAACGACAAGGTCTTGAAGTGTTTTCGCACAACAAGTGGTATCAGAGCCGCTGTTAGCAGTGGATATTAGTTTATGCCCAAGTGCTCTTACAATTATAAGCAGCTCTCTGGAGAAAGTAGCGCTCAGTCAAATTAGCCACAGACGACTAGCATGAAGGTCAAGTTGAAGTTGTGCACCAGCAAAGAGAACTTTTTGTAAGTGTATGCATTTTGTGATTTTCTTCTGGCTTCCCTTGACAATTTTGTAATAAGGCAATCATTGTAATTTCCCAAGCTCTAAGTTTTGATTAAGAATTACTTCTCTAGTTTTTCTTATCTGGCTACATTCTGATGGAAAACAATGTGTTTGACAAAGGTAAATTCTACACTGCACTACATTGCATTCACTAAATTTCTGAAAATTATGATTAGTCATCTTTCCTTCGTATGACTAGTCAACCTTTGCATAAGTAAGATTTCTAGCTCACTGTTTCCAGCTGGATCCTAACCATCTTTTTTGTCCTATTCTGTGAATTTCTCAGCTGCCATGTGTACTATTTTGACTTAGGAATTTTTGGGTAAAAGCCAAAGAATTCCTCATTTCGCAGCCGTCTCTTTTGTGGGTGAGTTTTGGAAAGCTTCTTAGAAAACTTTCTCTTCTTCTTCCTCAAGAGTAAACCTTCATATTTTTCATCTTCGAGTTTTCCAAATTGATTTTTCGAAAACTGCATTTGAAATATGAAAGCCTCATCTTGCTAGATCAAACACTCTCTCATATATATCTAGGTCATATTCAAGATTGATTTCTTCAAGAGTATGGTTTCTTGAAGAAATGGGTCATTTTCTCCTTGAATCCAAATTTCATTTTTATCTAAGTTGGAGCTGGCTAGCTGGTGCCATGGGATGAAAGAGCTGAAGAAGGAGCTGTCATTGCCATGAAGGACCAAGCTGCTGGTTTTGCTAAAATGGAGAAGAAGATTGCACAAAGGAGGTATAGCTCATCTTCCTAAATAGACCTAGGATTTGTTGAGCTTGCTAGTGTTTTTTTTTTAAGAATCTTTTTGCTTAGTGGAATCCTGGTCGGTTGATGACCCCCAATTTTTCCCAATGGTGGGTTTCTGGGTGAACAATTTCTGGTTTGCATCTCTGTAATTTTCTAGATTTGTGTTCTTGACAGTTGACTAGTCATCGCATGATGTTCATGTATTTTCTGGGTTTGTGTTATTGATAGTTGACTAGTCATCGCATGATGTTCATGCATTTCTGGGTTTGTGTTCTTGCGGTTGACTAGTCATCACTATCTGCTATGTTCTGTTTATTTGATTATGATGTTTTCACACACTTTCACCATAGTTGTTGCTAGCACAGGGGATGACTAGATTGACGGGTCCTTCTGAGTGCTTAGGTTGTCACTAGTAATCTTCTAGGCTTGAAGGTACATATTGTTATGCTCTGTGTGTGTGTTCTTCATTATGGTCTCTCATGACTAGCAGTTGACTAGTCATAAGTATATTTGGTCAAGGATTAAGTGTGTGAAGATCACTGTGTCTACTTGAATAGCATTTAAATTTACCCTGTCGCATGTGTACCAATTTCACTTTTCTCAATGGCAAAGAAGGATGAAGCATGTCCTAGCCTAGCAGAATATCAGCATAGTCTTGGCAGGCAAGGAAAAGAAGTTGGAAACCATGACGGAAGAGGAGTGGAATTCGCTTGATGAGTTAGCTAGGGGCCATAAAGAATTACCTCACGAATGAAGTGTTGTGTAATGCGATCAAAGACACTGCAAAGCATACATGGGAAAGCTCGAACATATGTTTGCGGCAAAATCATTGTCAAACAAACTCTTCTTGAAGGAGGAGTTCCTAAATCTTCGGATGGAGGAGGGTGCAAACATGATGGAGCATCTTAGTATCTTTTATTAGTTGATAGCAATGTTAATCATGACTCGCTATTTCTTCAAGGGGTTCCTCTTCGAACTAGATTTTGGATTCCGGATGCTCATATCATGTGTTCAAAAAATTCTTGGTTTGACACATATGAGAAAGATGACGACGACGAAGTTGTGATAGGGGACGACTCTTATGTAGAGTCAAAGGTACAAGTACTATCAAAGTGAAGATGCATTATGGCATTGAGATGGATAGGCAATTTATCACGGATATTTTCCTATTATGCATTATGGTATTGGTAGAGTCAAAGGAACCGATGATTCTATATTGTGAGAACAAAAATTGCACATAACCTAGTTCAACATGACCTAATAGAGATGGATAGGCAATTTATCAAGGATATTTTCCTATTATGTTTTTATTATCCTAATTGGGATACTTTGTAAATCATTCTAAATACCTCTGAGAGACGAATAGAGCATTATGTTCACCAAATCTGCAGCAATAAACAATAAAAACAATAGAATTGATACTTACAACACCATTGTGGAATTCACCCGCAATGTCCAGCCGCACCCACAGGGCATGAAAGAGCACAAAGACAACAATGATGACACACAGATAGAAAGGATTTCTGCCATGAAGATATAAGAATGCGTGAGAATAGTGGCAGATGATAAAATTTTAAGGTAGAACATCAACTTCATCTTCTATCGTCACTGTCAGTAAAGCATAAGTATGTACCTATAAAGTGCCATAAATTCATTGAATCCCAGAACGATCAAGGCAACAATTGCCCAAATAGGTGGTAACCAGTTGTTATTACGCTTGTTAGCTTCCTGAATAGTAAAACAACATGCGGAATGGACTAGGTATGAGTATCAGTAAATTAATTTAGGAGAAAAATGAACAATTAAAGGGCGATTAATAAGGATACTCATTTCACATGTGCATCAATGTATTTATATCTCAACCATGATATACAAAACTTTGAATCTAATGTTAAAAGGTTAAAGTAATTTTCTAGAAAGTCTTTCTATCTACTCACCTTGGGAACCTACAATTTTATTATGGACAGCTGCTGGTGCTATTAAATTTTCTTTTTATTTCAAGAATACAAGTCTTTTTTATAAGTGCTACTATTTATCTTTAGGGGTTCTTTTCATTAGATGTAACCCGTTGGTAAGAGCTTGGTGAGTGTGCCGCATTACTTAGGTTCATGCTCGTATTTTGTAAGCTGCTCTATTGCTAATGAGATTTTGATTGTCTTTGAACTCCATTCTCTTCTTCTACTTTGTGGTTGTTCTTGGGCTAATGTGAAATTTGCACTACTGGAGAAGCAAGTTTCTGGAACTTTGGAACCTTGTCTTTCTCTACATCTAATATATGCCAATTAAAGGAGATCAATTATGCAGGACAACAGCAACACTGCATGCACTGACTCAAGTACAGGGCATAAGTCTAGAGACCATATTTAATGATGTGTTTTTCCACCTCTTTAACTCCTTAGAGGCATTCTCTATTAACAACAAGAAAAATGTAATACCAAGACTAAAGGCCGAACACATAACACATCATGGGAGACAAACAAAATTATTTACACTGTACATATAGTTTCCATATATTTATTCTTTCTAAATCGTAATAGCAGGATCTTTATGACCAATAATAAGTGAAATAACATACCTGTTTAGCAATGGCGTCAGAAACAATGACCTCGGCTTCTGCCATGAATCGTTCCCACACATCTTTACATGTAGGAGGTGAGATCAATGTATTTGATAATGGAATCTATATAAAGGATGGAAAGTCACAAAAGCTACATGGTACTTACATGAGAATTAGAGGCTAGAACAAAATGAGACAGAGAGAGAGAGAGAGAGAGAGAGAGAGAGAGTTGGGGAGGGGGTGGAGAGGGAGGGAGGCACTTTGCAGTCCACGTTTTCTGCACGAATTAAAATATTTGAACTATATGTCTGATATATCTTTGTATATTTGTGATTTTCCACACAGACACTTGCATGTCCATGGTCCTATAGCTTTGAAGCTAAAGAACCAGAAAGTTATAGTTTTGGTTTCGAAGATCTATGCAAACAAATAATAGTAAAACATTGGACATGAAATACAAATTAAAAATTCGTAAGTGAAACAATGCACAAAAGAAAGGTCACCTTTTCCCAAGCATTTAAGCCCAGTGGGTCAATTCTTGTAATATTCCTATCTTCAGAAGAAGGATCTGTGGAATCCAGGAAGGAAAGCGATAAAGTATTCTGAATTTCATCACCATCATGATGCAAACGGATCGCAGCCATAACAGAAAGCACTTCTAGGGACTGAAAAAATTAACAATATAGTTAACAGAGCTCCAGGTCAAAATCAAACTCAAGTTTCAATATATGTAATGTTAATTGTGACATACTGCAGAACGAGCAGTTTTGGCGATTGCTCTAATATCTTCATTTGGGTTCCAAACACGTTCGATTGAATCAGAATCGTGGCTAAAATTTTTTGAAAACCTGTAGGCAATTTAAATCATCAGAATAATGGCTACATATGTTGCAACCCACTAGTGTAGTGGTTTGGAGTATTTGCTACCCCAGGCAAGGTCCTGGTTCGAGTCCTAGCATCCGTGTAGTGTGTGTGAGAGTTTAGTATATTATCACCCTCCTTGATAGGAAAGGTCCTCAAAAAAAAAAAAAAAAATCTTAATTGCATACGATAAAATCTCAAACAAGGTTAAACCACTGATTTTACCATTGTAATAATTTCCTACCTGGCCACCATAGACGTCAGAACCCTTCCAGCCTCTTCCTTGGCTTTAGCTTCAACCACACCTCTTCCATGTTCTTCTAGACTTGCATGTATTTTGGCTTTGGTTTGTTCATCCATATCAAAGCCACGATGTGCATTCCAGCTCCCAGAAGAAACTGATTCAGTCTCTAGCTGGAGAAGTGTCCTTATTGTGGGCCAGGTCTCATTACTAGCTTTTTCTAGAAGGGCTTTCACTGGTCCTAATAACAACTCCTCCAACTTTTCCTGCATTGTATAGTTACATCATGAATCATCCAAGTTCCTGGGAAAATATAGTCAACCCAAGGATTGGACTTAGGTGGTTATGGTGGGGACAACATTAGTGCATGGTTTGGATAGATAGTGGATTCTTATTGGGCCCTTTGGTACAACAATTGGTATTGGAGGCTACAACGCACTTGGTTCAAAGTGGAGCCATTGACATGTTCAAGGAGATGACTCAAGTAAAAATTCTTGGACCGACAGAGAAAGGTGAAGTGGGCTAGTAGAGCAAGGGCTAGTGGAGTAAAGACAAGGCTCAAGGAAATCCTAGTGGCATCCAACTAGGTGGAGCAAGGACTCCTAGCAAGGCTCAAGAAAATCCTTGTCGAAAGATGGAGTTGTGAGGGCGCACTCTTGGAAAGTGCGAATGTTGTGAATGGGCGAGTTACCTTGGCTTGGATCTCACTAAGATGGAGATTGTTAGTTTAGGTGGCTCGATACAAGTCATGATATGTAAGTCCCACATTAGAGAATATAACAATTATCTATAGCTTAAATATAGGTGGTCCACTCATAATTGTACCGAGGCATTTTGTAATAAAACCCCACACCTAGAAGTCCATAGTTTAGTACAACACATATAGGGATTGAATACCTTTTTTTTTGTTTTTTTTAAAAAAAACATCTCAAAACTACATTGAATCTATGAATACTAGTAACCCCAACTATATCAGAAAAGACAACGAACAAATATATGCTATTATACCTTACAAAGTGCAGTATGTTGAGTTATCTTGTCAGAAAGAACTGAAGCAACATGGGCTTCTATATCACGCCTGAGTTTATCCTTTACTTTAGATGTGTCCCAGTTTGCTTGTTTGATAGCAGCATCTGCATAAATAACGAGTTAATCTCATTGTGCTTTACAAACAAGTGAAACACATATTAATGACGCCAATTCAAAAGGCTCATTAATTATATCTTCAATTGTAATTGACTGACTAATTGGCAGGAAGCAAAATTTCACTCAACTTGTGACTAATTGGATAAACTCTTAGTTTGTATTTCATCTTTTGCGTTTTATGCTTTAGTTTTCAATTTTGGCTCAAGGAATGGCATTCCCAAAACATACCTGCACAATCTTTGTCAAATTGAGCCATTAAATACTCGGTACAATTAGAAACAGCCACAGAAAATCCCTCCTGCCCGTCCAAGGCCCTCTTAAATGCTTCCTTGAACTTATCCAGAGTAGAACATCTTATATGTTTCAGCGAAGCTTTGAATGCAGGTTGAGCAAGCTAACAAAATAGTGAAATAATCAATAAGGTAATTGAACTGATAATCAAAATTGGAAAGTCATTCTTTCCTGAAGAAAAAAAAAAGGGTAAACGCGCACTAGGAAAGCCTCAAAAAGCCTCTGTAAAATTTAAAGGCATGGAAGATTGGAGGATGATGCAGGACAGAAATCTAATCAATCACAACCAAAAGAACAATAAACACAATTTGGTCTTTGAGGCAAAATTTTCTAAAAATCTGAAACCGTTAAGTCTCGGTTGCACTGTTATATTTCAGCCATCTATTATCTATAGCACAAGGAAAGAAGGGGAGGGGGAACACATTGTAATATAGTTTGACAAAAAATGATATCCAGATTCATTACTTTCAGCAATTTTTCTTCAAGCTGCTTGCGCTTCTCAGATCTGACACCTTCATCATAATATGTAGCCTCTCCATCATACCTAGAATTGTTAAAACAAATAAAACTAAAAGTAAGGAACTATTCAACCATATATAAGGGAAAATGTGTGCGTCAGAACTTGGAGACAACAGATATCTTAAACATTAAGGTCCTTGGTTGAACTGTAAATGAAGGAAATCTTACGTGCAATTTTCTAAAAGATAAGAAGTCAACCAAAAAATCTGAATATAAATTGGCATGCGTCAATAGTGTATTCTAGACTACCATATAGACATCCAAAAACTAATGCCCACTTTGTTTCCCTTTTCTGGTTTGTGTGTTGTTTCCATCTTTTGTCAAGGCCTCAACCTCACACCACTAACATGGACTACACTTGATCAGCCACCATTCAGGAGGAGATATTGAGAGGATCTTGACGAGTCAATGTACAGAGCTTATCTCATTAAAATCAAATCATATCCTTTAGCCTACAAGCTGAGAAAGCTAAATGAAAGATGCATACTCTGATATATAAGTATCAAGTATTCTACTGAGCTTATCTCCAAAGCCACGATGATCATGATCAGTAGCAGATTGAACCGCCTTTTCCAACTGACTCCATTCCTGTGACAATTCCAAACCAATTCAAGGCCATCAAACTAGGTTTGAAGAAGAATGGAAAATATGGCAATATAGGAAGAAAAAAAAAACACCTTATTTCCTGCAAAAGCGGCATACTTCTCATTGACAATCTCTTCACAACGTACAGTAGCCACCATGACCTGCAATGGAAGAGTTATGGATGGCTTCTTCAAATTTACATGCATATATCATAGTCGCAGGTTTACCTTGTGGGAAGGAATATTAAGATCTTTGTTTTGTTTGATGTCTTCCCATATCTTGACTGCACTGAAAGAAAATCCTGAAGCAGGAACTGCACCGTGACGATCTCCAGCAAGTTCACCATGTTCATTAGGATGGAAGAATCTCTGCCTCATGCAACCAACCTTAACTCACAAACATAAGTTACCAAGGAAAGAAAACTACGACATGCCAAATATCTTCATACAGCAAAACGTTATTTGTATTCTAAACAAGAAACCAAATAGAAAAAAAAGAAGCAAACAGGCAAAAGATGAATTAATTTGAATACGCGGGGAGTTTAGAATAACAATAGAAATGGGACAATCGGTTTGTTTAAGCAGAAACTGCATGCAACAAAAGATGAGAGAGGAAATGGCGATGGACAAATAAATGAGAGAAATTAGAAGTAATTTATAAGGTAGACGCCAAAGTGTCATAGAAATAAAATATGCAGCAATATTTGAGATATCCAGCAACTCCTGCCTAGTTATTTTCTTCTTTCCCTATTCAAGAAAATCCTTTTACACTCCTTCCCAGATAAAATTTAAAGTATCCGTAAGTATCAAGATAGCTTATTTTGTATTCTATATGAACAAATAATACAACATATTTTCAATTTAACATGGTGTCCAAGGCTCAAAGAGAAGAAAAATCTAAACGGTGCCTGTATATGCACATAGCACGTATGCATATGCCATACCTCCTCTGTAAATTGGTCTTCCATGCGTTCACAACTTGAAAGAGCAACAACCTCAACCTAGCCATTTAGTCGTACGCATAACACATCGCCAATCAATACACATGATTTATAGTTGTCACCACAATAACATCAAATCACCATTGATTCTTATCAGTTATATAAGCATGACATCTTACATTAAAAAATTCACTTAATGGAGTATTCATGTGGGCTTCAGGCTTAGGAGCAGAGTCCCATATCTGCAGTAAAGGAGAGAGGGTAAAAGAAAAACATTAAGAGTAAGACAATAACAAAAAAAGCACCAAATGACTTACCTTCTGAATGTCTTCTCTAAGAATAGGTTCTAAATACTCCAATGGCGTCTACAAACCAAGAAAGGAAGCAATGCAACATACTATCAAAATGAATAACAAATACAAAGGAAAATTGGCTCCATCTCAAGCTATCACATAGAAACACCAAAAGAGAAGAACGAACCTTTGTCTTATCACGGATGACAAATATCAGAGTTGACTTACGCGGAGTAAACAATCGCATCATCACCTATTAGCAAATTCAAGCATAAAGTTCAAGAAATCAAACTTCTGAAATTTCAATTAACTGTTTAATCGTAGTAGGTAGGAAGAATATACCTGGAACACAGTTTTTAGGAGAGGCTTATTTGCAGCTTGCTCACGGCCAATGTCATGGCACCACCTACGAAAAAGTTTCTAAAGAAGATTACTCAAACCGACAGAAAAAGTACAAATCCCAAACAGTCAATATTATAAAGAAGGGGAAAAAGAAAAACCTCACATGTTAATGAGCACTACATCTGAAACAGCGAGGGCAAAAAGGGTACTCTGCTTCTCGAATGTTGTATCATCCTGTAAATAAAAAACCGAATGATAAGCAGCAAGAGACTATACACTTTGTACTGCACGCCTCCTTGACAGTGAGATCAGATTTACATTTCTATAAGTAGATTGCAACATCGAAAAACAATCCTGATAGAATTATGCATTATTTTTAAAACATGGAAAGAAGAGTGGATATGAAAGAATCCACTTTCTGCCCTCTTAAAGTTGGTGTTGCGGCATAACATTTTGAGATCAATCAGAGAACCATTAGTCAAAAACTGAAGATTTCTTTATCAGTACAGAAAAGTTGAACTTGTTGGGAAGGGGCACATGAAACCTTATGTAATTTCAGGAAAGAAAAACAATCAGTAATCTGTAAGCTACAAGTAAGAGGAAGCAAAAGGCAGCTGGAGTCGGAACTAAAAATTGATCATCGAGAAAACCATGAGTAGAATATATGGAAGAAGTTGATGAAAACCGGTATAATGACATCAATTCAAGCATGATCATATGTTGAAATTTGATGAAAACGGAAAGCAGGGTGTCAAAGGCACCTCTCCTCGTTCTCTCCCATCTGTACCCTCTATGTCCATGACAAGAGTAAACCGCTGAAAGTTGGGAGATTTTGCCAACCAAATACCTTTCGTTGTTTGAGACCTGGAAAAAGAAAGCATATCCCGTCATATTACTGGTGAATAAGAGAAAACACAAGGCAAATAATTTTTCATTTTGAGCATTATGAGAGAACTTGCCTTCCTTTGAGGGCTTCCATCTCTTTAAAGTTGGTCTGAAACAAACGATTTACTAGTGTGCTTTTTCCTGGTAAGATCATTAATAGTAAAAAGAATTATACAAAAACAAACAAACAAATTAGGGATGTGAAACCTTCTCATATCATGTGCCATCTCACTATAGTAAGGTAAAATATACTGATGCAATCTCTCGGTTGGGGAAAATATTTATTTATTTTTTTGCTATTTAGGAAATCGTCCAACGCTAATCTGAATTAATCCAAATAGAACTTAATCGTATATGAGTATCAGATAAGAAAACAGAGAACAGACTCCATTGGAATTTATGTGATTATATCCATGGTTTTAGTGACGAAAAACCCTTCTTCTCCATGTGATTAAGCTTTAAGCCTTCAAAACACCCAAAAATTTACTTCATCTAATTCATGTTTCTGTGAGAATGTGAAGGTGAAAATGTCCCACATTATAACCTGAGTGTTATTTTTCGCATTCTAAAGTAGAACATGAAACGTCACAAATGAAGATGAAAATAAATAAATAAATAAGAATGCATACCACTACTTTGTGGGCCAACAATGGCGACAGCACAATAACAAAGCCCTCGGTCAGCAAACTTTGTGGTTTTGATGAACTCTTCAAATTCAGCGACCTTGAACTCTCCGTCACCATCAATAAGCTGAGTAGAGTAGCAGTCATCACTGCTCGCTGTTGCTGGATGAGAAAATGCTGAAATACGTCAGATGGAAAAAGTCAACGAAAGTCTTGGATTTCCAAAGCTAAGAAACGTTCTATATAGAAAGAAAAAGACCTATATGTACAATTTACAAAGTCAATGTATTTCAGATAGGACACGACAGCTTCTTTTAAATATGATTTTCTTTTTCTTTTTTTGTTATTAAAAACCAAATTGTATTTGAACCCCTTAATTATATATTTCTCCTCTTCGTCCCACGTCATATACATTTCCTGGAACTTGTAAGTTATAAAGAAAAAATTGTTCAGCCCAGAAATATTCATAAAACAAAAACAAACAAACAAAAAACTTGATCTTTCCCATCTTACCGCTGAAAGAACAAACAAAGAACAACCCAACAATAATCACACTTTCCAGTTAACAGCGAAGCTTTCGCTCCATTGACCCAAAAAAAAAAACAAAGCTTTCTTGCCGGCGATGTCTCCGGATTCAGGTCTGTGTAAAACCAAGGCTGAATTATGTCCAGATATGGATTATATGTGTTGATGATGCCTGAATTTTTACCTCAACAACAATATGCATGCCAAATAAAACCCATGCACATGACAGAAAAATTCTTACAAGGAAATCTAACCGTACGATTCTCTCTTGGTTTTAATAACTTAGCAAACTATGCATATATACTAATGTAACGTCCGATCAACTGAAACAACAACATTAACTCACAACTACTTAAAAGTTAAACACTCACCATCATCTCCTTCAACGATTTGTTCCCCATTAAGCAATCCCCGAGAGCTGCCGGCAGCTTCCATATTGCGATTCAAAAGTGTGAAGACGAGGGAAGGAACAAACAAAGCAGCTTTTAGTTGATGAGAGGTTCCTTGGCCTAAAGCGGTTGCTCTGGTGGTGTTGTTGTCGAGGTGATGGTTGCTGCTTTTTTTTTACCCCAATGAACACTGGTTGCTAATATACAATATTTGAAATAGTGCCGTGCTACATATTTATAATATTCTAAGGGGGTTACTACTCTAAACAATTTGTATTGACTTTATTGGAAGGGCTACTACTTACCTAGCAACTTCTCAAACTGATGTTTGACCCCAAAGCTTTGACCACACTCGCAAGGACAAAAATGGCCGCAGGGCACCACAGCCCAAAATCAATAATACTATTTGACCACTTTGCTTATTACGTCTCTACTAAAAGTGGACTCCACTAATATGTGTAGGATCCACTTGTACTAAGGTGTTCAACAATGTGATTCATAAATGTGGTACAAATAACAGCACTCGCCGAAAGTAAATTTCGTAACTCATATTCATATGCTTCCAAAATTTAGCCCGCCCTTCTAAGGCCATATGCAATATATAGTTCACCTATTTAAGGAGTGATGTAGCTGGTAATAGGGATGGGTACAGTTTGGTAGGCCAATGGCGGAGCCAAGATTTCACATTAGAGGGGGCCCTTAATAAAACTTGTATTCTCTTCATAATTATAATGAATATCATATTTTAAATTGGTTAAATACTAATTTTATCATCTACACTGTTAAAGACTTCAAAATTAATCATTTATATTCCAATAGAGAAAAGAAATGAAGAAAAAAAAAAAAAGTTCAAGCGCTATATTAAGGTACCCAACTCATACATGAAAAAAATGAGGAAAATAAAAAAAACACAAAACTTTAAACAAAAGAGGAAGAGAGTTTTTAGTGCAAATATCATAAACTGACCTAGAAAATTTAAGGGAGATGAGTAGAAGGGAGATCAGGAAATTTTATGGTTTATCTGTATACGAAAAGAACCAAATATATTATTTTATTTTAGGGTAAATATCCTAAAATTAATGTAATATATTATAATATTATATATCATATATAATATACAAATAAAAGAGGTAAAATTGGAGTGGGGGCCTGGGACCACACTGGTCCCATGCTAGCTCAGCCATTGGCCTAAGTTCAGTTCGATTTAAAGTGTTTGATAAAAATAAAATATCCTGATTATTTTAAGAGTAATGGCCTATTGACAGCAGCTTTTAAAAGCAGCCTCTAGGTTGCTTTTCAAAACTATTTTCACAAGAAGCATATTAAAGCCTTTAATGAATTTTTTCAATTCCCATAATACCATCATTAATTTTTTTAAATGACATCGTTTTCCACCACTGTCTCTATCACCTCTATCACCACCACACCACCACCCACCGCTACCACCACCTCCACATCCACCTCTACCACCACCACCACCACCACCTCCACCACCATCAATGAACACGATGCTTTAAGTAAGTACTAAAATTTCAATAATTCAATTGGGTGGTCAAATAATATCAGATTCAAGTGATTTTTTGTAGAGATGATCTTTGAATGAATATCTATAAAATAGATGGTTTGGATTCTTAAAATACAATACGAAGTGGGCTCTACAAGGGTGTCCTTCAAATAAGCTTATTTGAGGGATCTCTCAATGGAAGCTCTGTATATATATACAGTTCCCTTCTATTGAGGGATCCCTCAAATAATTTTACATCCTTTAGGGTCCCCTACAAATATTTTTTCAATGATCCAAACCATCTATGTTTTAAGTCTACATTCATAGATCATTCTTGCAAAAAATTAGACAAATCGGAAATCGTTTCGATATCCAATTGTGTCCTACAAAATCAATGAACACAGTGTTTTAAAAAAGTACTAAAATTTCAATAATTCAATAGGCCAAAATCAAACAAAATCAATGAACATTGTTTTGTTTTAAAAATGTAGCATTGGATTCAAATAATTTTGTAAAAAAAATAATATAATACACAACCAGTCCGGTCCGATTTAAATAATTATGAATTTTTTAACGTTAATTTGACTGGATGGAAAAGATAGGTTAACTCATTAAAACACGAGGACTAAATTGGTAAAATTGAAAATACATGGACCAAATTGGCCAAATGAAAAAAATATTTGAACCATTTTGACATTTAAGCCTAAAAAAATAAATAAATAAAACATGGGAAAAAATTGAAGAAAAAATCCACCAAATCCAAACTTTAACAAGGTAAAAAAATTTGAAGAAAAGGAAAAATTTTATAGACTCAAACTTTGACAAGGTTTATTCTAAACAAAATAAAAATTTGAAGAAAAAACAAAGAACCCACAACGTGTGAGGCTCGGAAAATGTTAAGGTGCTTAGAAGGTGTTTTACAAATTTTCAGATAATTTAATGGAATATTTGGGAGTTTATTTAGATTTATATTATTCGTGGTTGATTAAAAAGTATGCAAGAAAACATTTAAATTTTATTGAGGTCAAATGATGATTTGGATGTCATAAATTAAAAATACGTGTGATTATGAGTTTAGGATAATTAAAAATTAAGAAATGACATGGCAAAACGCGGACATGTGGAATGCAAAACTTAACCATGTGCCACTTGCCACATAAAGAAAATTATCGGCGAAACTGGTCGAAGACAATTGAGCTACTTTATTTATTTGGGAAATGAATACGTCCCCTCAGAAACCAATCAAATTGCTCAACCCTGAATTTGATATGAAAGGATAACATAATTCGCCTAGACCCAAAAAATAAAAACTAGTTAATGGGGGCTTCCTCACAACAACAAACAGCCCCTTGTATGTTGGCACTTGCTCAAAAATGTTACCATTACGTGCTTGCGACAGTGACGTGCAAGCTAATGGTGCTTTGTAACACCATTACAATAAGTGCACAGAACACCAGCATCTTCAAATGATATGCGAGTAGACCCAAGAAAATTCGCTAGACTAGACAAACCATGGATTTAGCACTGTTTTGTGATCAAGCTTTTGACTTGCGTAAATGGCGGCGTGGGTGGGTAACTTAGGAGAAATTTTTATATGTTCCGGGTACACCACGTGGCTGGTGTACCATTCAATAAACATAAGACATGTGGAATTATTATTTAACTTACTGCATTTCTTTTTATTACATGTGGCGGGCTGCATTGGAAATATTCCATATGTCCTCCGTCTATAGGATGGTACACCAGCCACGTGGTGTACCCGGAACATAAAAGTGGACTCCACTAATATGTGTAGGATCCACTTGTACTAAGGTGTTCAACAATGTGATTCATAAATGTGGTACAAATAACAGCACTCGCCGAAAGTAAATTTCGTAACTCATATTCATATGCTTCCAAAATTTAGCCCGCCCTTCTAAGGCCATATGCAATATATAGTTCACCTATTTAAGGAGTGATGTAGCTGGTAATAGGGATGGGTACAGTTTGGTAGGCCAATGGCGGAGCCAAGATT